AGGAAGGGTCCCAGCCTTACAGGATGCAGACTGAGAGTCCATCTGATACAGTGGGTGGAGCTCTGGGGTCTATGGCTTTTGGAAAGGCAGTCTGGGCCTACCTCTGGTCAGGATTGGGTCTGTTTCAGGGTGACCATTCTTGTTGCCAAAAAGAGAAGAAAGAAGCCAGAAGTCTGGGAGCCAATTAGGAGGCATTTGTGACATTCACTTACCTTGCTTAGTGCAGCTGTCTACGGGCCACCTGCTGTGCACCACCCATGCGCTGGGCCTTGAGAACACAGAGGCCGGCAGCTCTGGGGGACGCCTGAGTCCAGGAGCTGATGATGGGGGCAGCAAGCTCTTACAGCGACAGTGACCCAAGCCCAGGGCTGTGTGACTTTGACATAGCAGACGCAGTTTCCATAGACAAAGTAAAGGTAAATGATGATGTTAAAACTCTGAACTCAGCAGGCAGCACCAGAGTATGCAATTAAGGCCATGTTCACTGAAGGCAGTGGAGGGTCTTGTGTTGGGTTCAGGGTCAGAGAAGGACAGTGGGAAAAAGAGGGGTGCAGTCAGAATGCAACAATCTGCAGCCGTGTTAATAGCAACGACCCAGTGCTACGTTTTCACTACCTGGTATGTTCTATTGTTACCCTAGATGTCAATGAGGAGAAACCCAATGAAGATATATGGGAGCTCTGAATGCCCTTGCAGCATTTCTGCAAACCTAAAAGTTTCCCCTTGGAAAGCCTGTGTGTACACACGTGTACACAGATGTGCTCATGCATAGTCAGAAGGAAAAAGTGCAAAGAAAATTATAGCTAAAGAGCATTTCATGTAGAACTGCTCAAAACCACCACACACTATGAATTCATAGGTCTGTATGTGATTCATGAAATAACTCCTTAAAAACACATGCATCTGCATCCTACTCATTACTGCCAGCAGAGGACAGAGCTGAGGGCGGGCCTTGGCAGAGGAACCCCAGTGGACATTGCTCTGTCCCCACTGTGGTGCCCCACTGTGGAAGAAGTGTGTCCCACAGCAGTGGACCTGGGACCTGTGCCAGGCCTCAGCCTCTGCCCCATCCATGCAGGTGACTCTGGTCTCCTTGCTCTAGGCCACAACACAGCCAACCAGGAGGCCCCTCTGCCCAGGTGCTTGGCATGTCTGCGTGCTGTTTAGCTGCCCTTCCAGGGAGCCAACTCCTGAGGTCTGCTCTGTTTCTCCTAATTAGCTGCTTTTTCCATTCCAAGTCAGAGGCCATGAAAAACCCCACTGCGAAAAGAAGTGTTGAATTACAAAGGATAATAGGAAAGCCCAGCTAATTGTGAAGGCCACTATGTGGATAATGGGTGTGAACAGCTGCTCTGGGCGGCAGTGCTGTCCTGGCCAGGGGAGTACCCTGATATCTTAGGTCAGCTGGCATTCTGCTGCAGCGACAGCAGCAGTGCCCAGGGAGCACAGGGACACCTGGTGCCGAGTGGGGGTGGGGTGGGTGGGTAGTAGCTAGTGATCTAGAGGGGCTTGACAGGGCACAACGCAGGCGTCTGGAAACTGGATTTCGTGCAACTGTGAGGATGCAATTATAGCCACTGCACACCTTGAAGCTGCTGCTCTGTGAAGCTTCAGGGTGTGCAACTTGCTGCGAAATTCCCAGGGACCAAGAAGCCAGAGAGGTGGCGCGTGAGCCCGGGCCCTGAGCTTCCCCCTGCATCTATCTGCAGGGAGCTAATTCCCAGGGACCAAGAAGCCAGAGAGGTGGCGCGTGAGCCCAGGCCCTGAGCTTCCCCCTGCATCTATCTGCAGGGAGCTAATTCCCAGGGACCAAGAAGCCAGAGAGGTGGCGCGTGAGCCCAGGCCCTGAGCTTCCCCCTGCATCTATCTGCAGGGAGCTGAGGCTCTTGCTTGTCCCTGAAGAACTGCTCCAACTCCCAGCCTTCCTCCAAGCTTCCTCTAACCACGCCCCTGGTGCGTCAGAAGTTGGTCCTTTCTCTCAGAGAAACAGCAACACTTTGGCTTTACTGAGCTCTTAGATGACAGGTTTTTAAAAGCATTCCTGTGTTATGCTTAAAACAGGTCTAAAAATAAGGTAGCAAACAGACCCAATGGACCAGGAGTAGAAGGCGCCACACAGCTCAATAAAAAACAGCTTTAGGGAGGATGTGCTCCCTTGGGTGGTGTGAGATGGGTTGCACTAGGGGACGAGGCCCCACTGTCCCTGTGCAGGGGGTCCCCAAGGCTCACTGCCCCAAAGATGCCATACAATCCCCCGAGGGCTCTTTTAAATATATAGAGAGCTCTGGGTTCCACAATGTTTGGAATGCTGGGCCTTTAAGAGCAGAGAAATATATGTGGAGAGAGGGAGAGAGAGAGAGGAAGGGAGGGAGAGAGGGAGAGAGGGAGGGAGGGGGAGAGAGAGAGAGAGAGAAACGCTCTTGGGCAGCGCCGAAGCACAGCCTTCAGCTCCAGGCACACTCCCTCCCCAGGGAATAAGCACTTTGGACCCAGCAGCAAGTACTGATTAAGCAGGCTTCTCTCTCCTAGACCCAGGGCTTTTGTAAGGTTCAGTGGCTGGAGCCCTCCAAGGCTGAAGGAGAAGAGGACACAGACCCCAGCCTAGCAGCCAAGAGGAGTCGCCCCAGGACAATGTCTGAGACTAGAAGTCAGCTCCAGGGGAGAGAGAATCCTGCTTAATTAGTACTTGCTGCTGGGTCCAAACTGCTTATTCCCTGGGGAGGGAGTGTACCTGGAGCTGAAGGCTGTGCTTCAGCGCTGGAGAGCAGGGAGAGCGATGGAAGGGTGATGGATGCCGCAAGAGGCCCTGTCTGCTTTATTTTTTTTTCTAGAGGGTTCTGAGTGCTGTGTTCTCCATCCTTTATAAATAAGGAAGGGTCAGGAAAGAGAAAAGGAAGAGAGCAGAGGGCAGGCAGACAGGGCTGCGTGGCGGGGACTCCCGGGCTGCTCAGGACCCTGAATTCAGGTCCTTACACGGTGGTCTCCTGGGTCACAGGACCTGTGTCCAGCATGCTTAGGCAGGAGGAAGGAGCTTGCACCCACATGGGGACTGGTGAGGGAGGGCAGCAAGCAGAGGCGCAGCAGGGGCAGACCCTGCCACAAGCCAGGCCTCATCCAGGGTAGTCTCTTTCCACCCAGTATGGTCCATGAGTTCTATTTTTGAAAGGAAAAAAATATTCCCTTAGGAAATAATTTCTTCTTATATTATGGCTAAGACGCTCCTGATCTCTGGAGGCAGACTTCGGTGCTAAGTTGCATTACTGAGCCCCTTCTATGTCCTTTATCTATGCCACCTCTTTGAAGCCCTCAAAACCCCCTAAGAAATAGTCAGTATTTCCCCCTATCATGGTAAGAAGATGGACAGCCAAAGAGGCAGAGGACACGTCCAGGGTCGCATGGGTGCCCGTCAGCAGAGCACGGACCGTGGCACTTGTCCGGACATGGCATTTCTCCCTGCTGCACACTGGATGGTCTGCCCGGCACCTGCATCAGTTAGTGAGCCCTGCACATGGCGGCTCTTGACTTCCTGGAGCTTCTGAGCAGGGCCAGTGAGTCTGAAGAAGAGCATCAGATGGAGTCTGTCGAGGGTGGTTAGGCATTCTTCTCACCAGAAGGTACCTCACACCTTAATTTTTCCCATTCTGTTTTCCATAAATCTTAATAATGCAAATGGAGATAATTGGTGTTTAATCAAAACCTTCAGTGTAGTTCAATAAAGAGCATTTTAAATCAAAGGACATAAAAGTGTACCATCGCATGGAACCCTGTCCTACCTGGCCTGGGTGGGTCCTGCCCAACCAAGGCGCAAGCTCAGGCTGCCTTGGGCATGGCTGCCACTTGTGCCAGCCTTGGAGCTGCAGGGGTGGCAGCTGCAGACACCGCCTCCGAGGGACACTGATCAGCTCCCTCAGAGCTCGGTCCGTGATGTCCAGTACTGTCCATCTGTGTGCCTGTGCATTTGGGAATAGTTTCTGCTGGCTCTGGGCCAGCTTTCCTGTCTGTGTATCGTGAATATCTATTGTGTCCATGACCTTTAAATTGTTTTGTTATAATTCAATTAACACTTGCAAGTACTGATAGTGTGATATTAAACATACAGAAAACAACTCAGTGTAAAGTCTAGAACCAACATATGCAAATAATAGCTCTTCTTTTTCTTTCTTTCTTTTTTTTTTTTTTGGATTTAGTGCAGTCTACAGGGTCTCACTACACAGATCAGACTCAGCGATCCTCCTGTTTTCAGCTTTCCAAGCACTGGAATTACAGGCATGCGCCACCACGCCCAATCTCAATCACTGTCTCAGCGCGCTCCGGGGGTGGACCTGGCAGAGCATGCTGGGGATTGAACCCTGGTCCCTGCACTCTACCTGAGCAGGCGCGTTAGTCCAGTGAGCTATCTGGGCAGCCCAATAGCTCTTCTTTTAACTGTAAAAACTCAGCAACCATACAAAGACCCCCGTAATTTGGTCCCTAACTTCCTTTCCACTCATCTTGGAGCCTGTTTCTGGAATTTCCTAGGCTCTCCCTCCCCAGTCTCTGTCCTTGCTGTTCCTTCTGCCTGTAATTACCCTCCTTTACCTTGACCTTCAGAATTTATTCATTAAATGTAAAGTCAAGGTCAACCACCTAGGAATAGTTTCCTTAAAATCAGAAATGACAATGCCCTATACTAGTGTCTAGAGAAATGGAAGGCATGGTTCTGAATCCCACAGTTACCTGGTCAGCAGCTAAGGCCACTGCCAACTGGATTAATGTCTGTGCCTCAGTGATTGCATCCGATAAACAGGTATAATCTCCACTCCACCCCCACCTCGAGCTGCAAAGGCTTGGCCTTGAGGACAGAAGACACTGAACAATGGCGCCATGTGAGGCTATTGCCACTTTAGGCAAACCTTGGTTCATCCAGTGCCTTTGAGCTGGCACCTGAGATTAGAGGGTTGGCCACCAAGGGGCATATGTGATAGGCTATCTCTTAAATGTTGTTCTGTTTTTCTGACTAGGTGGTCGACAGTGACAGACCTGAAGGGTCCAGGTTCAGGCTCACTGGAAAGGGAGTGGATCAGGAGCCGAAAGGAATCTTCCGAATCAATGAGAACACGGGTGTCGTCTCTGTGACACAGACCTTGGACAGGGAAACGACTGCCATCTATCAAGTGAGTACCGCTCGCCTGCCTCTGTGCGCACAGATGTGGCTCTCAAGCAGTGTGTCCTTCTTCCTGAGTTCATTACTTCTGCGCCTCATCAAACTCAAGAGTGCATGGCTTGAGAGTATCTCCATGGGAGGCGGAGTGAGTGGAACCCTGCTGGAGCAGCAGTGAGGCCTCCTGTGTTGCCAGCAAAGCCCCAGGCCTTCCTCAGTCTCTGAGGACAAGACCTGGGGGCTTCTCAGAGACCAGCTGAATCCTTAGGCCAGCTTTGATTTTCAGAGGAGCTCACAGTCAAGAGCCATTGGAGCTACCATTCTTAGGTGTGAGAATTACTCTTTCAGAAATCTGCCCTAAGGAGACAGAGCTAATTCAATGTGATTTTTGTATAACAGTGCTCTCATAGGATGTGGTCCTACGAGTGGAAAAAACTCCTACGCATGAGTCAGTAGAGAAGTGGTTAAGGCCCAGCACCTTGAGCAAGGCTGTTTTCCTCATTGTCTAGAAGAATTTCCACCAAATGCTATTTGCGTGGGAAGATTCAAGAGATCAATGGAAAGAGAACCCTAAACACATATAGTGTCTTTGTGACCAAGTGCTTACACACATCAGGATGGGCTGGTGTTTAAGAATGACAAAAGGAATCTCAAAGTACTGAGAGTATGACTGTAGTGATAGACTTTTTTCTTTGGCATTCTTACCTATTATTACCGGGCTTCCTGTGGGCTTCAAGTGAAGAGAAGGAGGTATAAGGGCAGCATGGCCACACAGGGCTGGGCACACGTGCGTGAGTACGCAGGGGCACGCGGTGGTGCCCCCCAGGGCCTCTCCTCAAGCCCTGCTGGAGGTTTTGCTGAGGCCTCCAGGATGCGGCACCTGTCAGCGAGCACAGAGCGGGGTCTCTGCCACACAGACCCAAGGGAGAGTCTGGTTGTGTCAGAAAGTGAATGCCGAGCCCTGACATTTCCAGATCGAGTAGCCTTGGCAGCACCAGGCCCTGCCTCAGCCAGCTCTTGGTGTCCAGCGGCCATGGGGTAGCGGCAGCCGACCGCGCTCGGAGCCCTCTTCTTTTCCCGCGTCTGTCATGAAAACATCCATGGAGGTGGATATTGTGTGTGAAGTACTAGATGCTAGGAGGGGGCAGCAAAGCCCATCATTTATTCCACAGTGACTGAGAACTCTGAGGTTAGAAAAAGGCCACCCGGGTCTCGCCGTTCCTTCTTTCTGAGCTGCGTGATCTCAGGCCACTCACCTACCTTCTCTGTCCTTACAATTTTTCCTTGTAGAAATACAGATCTTACTAGCATCTCTAAGGAGAGTAAAAGATTAAATTATTTTTCCAGACAGTTGGTACAATGCCCAGCACTTATCAGGTGTGCAGTGAATCAGTGCTACTTTTGTTAACTCTTTCCTTGAATGTCTTTGGAGCTTTTAGCTAAACGCCACAAGTTTCTCACATCGATTTCCTGGTTCCAAGCGTGAGAAGGGAGACACCTGCCATGAACATCATTTTTCCTTCTAGCTGAGGTTAAGCATCAGAGATTCCTGGGTGAGTCTGAAGCTTAGGAAGCCGCCAGGGAATCAGGAGACATGTGAGAAGGAACGGAGGAGAGGAGGTGTTTGGGGGTGGGCAACACAACCGGTGCAAGTAAGAGAAAGCAAAAAATGTCCGTGGCCAGCCGAGATATGGTGCAGGAGGGAAGAGAGGTGTCTGGGTGGCCATCCCGCCACTCAGCTACTGTCACAAGGGGCGAGAGATTGCACGTGCCCATCGCCTCACAGTCCTCTCTGATGTTTGTGGAACCCAGCAGTGCTTCCCCCAAACAAGTCAACCCTGGACATCCTTCCATGTTCACAGAAAGATCCAGGGAGTCTGGACCAGGCCCTGTCTAGGAGCAATGTTCTTACGGGGCAGTGACCCTGCTCTCCAGGGACATTGAGGACCCCGCTATGCTGAGGTCAGAGACATTTGTGGATGGTCATGGCAGCAAGCCCCAGAGGCCGCCAAGGGACTGAGGAGGAGGTACCCGCGGTACGCGGCCCTCTGGGTCTTGAGTTGCCAAGGGTACCAGCAGAGGCTTCGCGGGGAGCAGTCCTGGACCTCCTGCTATCCTTCCCTCTTGCTCCATGAAGCCAAAGGCACAGTGGTTGGGTCTGACTGAGCTGGGATTTGCTGCATTCAGGAGTGGCTGAGAGGACCAGAGCGGCCTGCCTAGCAAAAGCTGCTCTGTGCACGGGGCTGAGTCTGCGGGAGAAGTCAGGCTCCTCTCCATGCCTTCCCTTTCACTTGTTTGTTTGTTTGCTTGTTTGTAAAGGAAGCCAGGCTTTCCCTGAAGAGAGGCCAGTGCTCCACCTGAGTCATGGCCCAAGCCCTGGTATTCCCACTGTTCACAAAGGCACGTAAGCTGGAGAGCAGCAACCCCCCTAATCTTAAAGTAAATTTATTTCTTCAGTGCTGTTCTCTGACGATTGTGATTAAGAACAAACATGCACCCAAGCTTTAGCACCACGGCGTCCTGAGCTGAGTGATCCCGGAAAGCCCATGCCCCTCTCTGAGCTTGGGATTCTGTCCAGAAAATGAAGCTAGCCCGACTAGCACCTCTGAGGATTATGAAAGAAAAATGACCAGCTTTTCCTAACTAGTGCTTGCTAGTTATCCAGGAGCTCCAGCGCTTTGCAAGGGAGGCCACGGCAGCACCTGGGCCTGTACGAGCTGTGGGCCCGGCTGGTGTCTGCGATCCCTGCTGACGCAGGAGCATGGGGCAATGCGGATGGAATTCCCTGAGGACTAACAGGACATTTAGAACAGTGCCGGGAGCATCGTGAGCCCTGGAGGCAGGTGGGACGACAGCGGGGCTGAGGCAAAACAAGGCGAGCAAGCGCTCCCAGATGGAGATTTTGGCCCAACCTCAATACTCAGGCATGATAAATCTGAGTTCAAATTTCAGTTCTGTCACCGCCTACAGGATCTTGACAGACTGGTCTATACAGCCCCTCATGCTCCTGTATTCCACGGAGGATCTGCAGGGCAAGGTCCCTCCAAGGCAGTAGAGGGACAGTAGGGACTTAGCCCCCAGATCCCTGCCCTACAGTGTCTTTCACCTCAGCATCTGGGCTTTGCTGCACAATGTGGTGGTTTAACTATTTTCCCATGGTGTGCAGGAGACCTGCCAGACAGCTGTGCCTTGCACTCCTGTAGCTTGGAGCACCCTGACCCGGGGTCTCATGCCCCCCAGAAAGGGACTAAAAGGGGTCCAAGGCTGTCCTTCAGTACCAAGGCTGCAGTGGCCAGGCCCACCTGCCTGAGCATCGGCTCAGCCGCAGAAGGCCCCATTCCTCAGGAGAGCCCCTCCCGGCCTCAGTCCTTGCCTTCGGACTTGTCCTATTTCCTCCTGGCCTTGCTGAGCAAGGTCACCTTGCTGTCCTCTCTAAATGTAATGAGAACTGGATGGCTGTCTTGTGGAAATACTTCAGCCCAGCAGTGTGGCAGTTCCGGTCCACCTCAGGTGCCTGTTTAGAAATCACTTTTTCTCTTAGTGGGGGAGTTAGAGCCACTGCACTCCTGGCTGTTGGGGTAGCCAGGAGCAAGTCTGCTTCTTCAGAGTACAGAATCCTGGATCTTCAAAAGCCCACATTTTCATTCCTACTCTTGCAAGTTTAGGAAGCAGAGAGCATGTGGGTGCCTGTATTGACATTCTAATTGTGCCAATGTTGTTATTTGTTTTAAAGTCAAATGCTCCTCACATGCAAGAACACACCAGTGCTTTAGCGTCCCCCAGATCTACCAGGGAGCCCTATTGACAGAAGCCTCTGGGGTTTGTGCAGCGCAGAAATAATGTGTGACCTGTCTGCCCTGAGACTCCAAGAGAGTCCCGTCACGGACACTCCAGTTTATTAAACACCACATGGCAGATGTTAAGCCAACGCTTCCTGCTCATCCTCACATTTAGTCTGTTGCACACAAGAGGCTAAAGAAGTAGGCGCTGGCACCCTCATACAGATAAACTCCCACCTGTTACCCAAGCTCAGCAAGGGCCCACGCAGGCTTGTGTTGGATTGGGCTCTGCAGCCCGCCCTCTCCAAAGCCCGCATTTTCAGTCGCTAAGCAACACTTCTGCCTGTTTTTATCCCCAACCTTGCTTTGATAACTGATCGGTAAATCCCTCTGCCCTTCCCTAGGAGCCCCTCCTACCAGCGCTGAGCAGAAGTGCGGCTGGCTTTGTGATCTACCGCTTCTTAAACACCATCTTGCTCCCTGCCCCTCTGCCACCTTACCACGCCCCCTGCCCCTGCTTCTGTTTGGGATTCTGACCCAGAGTGGCACCTGGCAAAATAATTTTGCTCTCACAGTATTAGGAGCTGACATATTAATGTGAAGCCTCCTGAAATATTACTCATTATTATGCATTTTGCCAGCGTTTGAGTGATTTGTGAACTCTTTATTGGAATAAAGTACTGTAAATGATTCATGAATGACCAAGTTTATGAAATTCTATAAAAATATTAGCAGGTGGTAATGGTTCCCTCACACTGTGAATATAATCTGCTGGCTGCAAATTTGTCAATATGGGAGAACAGGGTGGAATGGGAGACAGAGTCTGGCGGGCAGCTGGGGAACCAGATGGAGGGTCCGGGATGGTCTCGGCAGGGGGTGCAAGGCGAAACAGGCAGCAGGACACATGTGGAGCTGGGCAGGTGCTGTTGGCAGGTGGCTGTCACCCTGATGTGGTGTCCACAGTGGGAGAAGCAGAGAGCACTGGAGAAGTGACAGCTGGGCAGAAGGGAAGAGCATTGGGGAACTGAGCAGTTATTTTGGTCCTCGGAACTCTGTGTGTCCCTCCTGTACACAGACCTATGAATATCGCTTATCTTCCTACCTCAACCGATGGTCTAAGGCTCAAAGGGCTGCCCCGGATGTACTGGTACATCAGTGCTGGCTCAACCTTTCCTGGACATTTACAATATGCCAGGGATCCTTGATAAATACCCAAGGGCCATGATCTTGCTTA